TGCTGGAAAATTTCAAAGCCTGCCGAGGGCTGACACTTACACCGACACTACAAATTGTTTCTAAATATCAAATTAAGTAAGAAATGATGAAGTTGTGCATGCTGTGTAAAAGGCACTCAACAAAAAAAAAAAGCACACTTGCTAATTTATTCCTTTTGTCTTTGCTGCTTTTGTTCCTTCAGATTGTTATGAGACATGAAAATGAAATCAAAATTGAGGCATGAAGCGAGCTCAAAGCTGACAGGGTTGTTTTGTCTTTGCTTATCGTCACTATTCTCCCAGAGGTCTGTGGGGAACAGTCGGCAGCAAGAGCCTCCTCTCAGCTCTACTCACTAAGCAGAATGACACTCAACAGTGGGCCGCCACGGGTCAAGGAGCAAACACCTTCACTTGTCAGCCAGCTCTCTGACTGACACACAATACCTGTGGGTGGCCCCCGATATACCGCAAAGCTTCGGCTACTGCCACTAGATCAACCCTGTTTGCTCTTCACAGATCAGGGCAGTCAAACAGAATGAAATCAAAGCTATGGGAAAGTCACACTATTACATAGCCTCACCGCAGAGGCTTTGTTAATCAACTCGGTACCCTCCTTAAATGTGTGTCTCTCTGTCGTGCTACAAGCTTGGCTGGATCAGTGACGCAGGTGGCCGTTAATTAAAATGTATTTTACAATTAGCATTCATGGTATTACTTTAGTAATTAATGTGAATCAGATGCAATTCATGTGCATCAACGCACTAAAGAGTGCTTTATCCTATAATTTGCTGTTTGTTCAGTTTTCTATTTTCTCTTTTGATTTATCAAACTCTATAGATAGGTGCAGTCCAGAAATCCACCTTCTTAATAAACGAGCCAAGTTAAATGATGATTTTTTTTTTTTTTCAGAATGATTTAGCAGCTGGAGCAGGCACAGCAAGTCCTTAAGTCTGGGTGTTTTCTCTCTATTGTCTTCTACGGGTGCAAAATCGGTTGCATTTAATCCTTTACTAGTGCACAAGAGATGCCCTCAATCAAATCTAGATATTCCCTGTGTCCCTGCAAGCGCTTTGCAGCAGCAAATTCTCTTTGGCTCAGTAGGAGTGGGTGGGTTGCTGCCAACCAGGGAGGCAAATAAATGTTTGTTTGTTTTCTTTTACATATTAGAAGCTTAGTCTTGCAATAAAAGTACACTTGTGCAGCTGTTTGCCGCTTTCTTGGTTGGCAGTAATCGGAATATTGGACAAATTACACAGGGCCTGGATGATGAGGACTAGATGGCTAGGTCAGTCCGTTATGTGCAGCAGGATACGGCTGCCAGGTTGGATGCAGTTAATGTTTTTTGATTTAATCCAGAGCTCTCTGCCTGCCCATGCACTACCATGATAATATGCCCAGAGGGCTCCTCCTGTAGTAAGTAGAACAGGAGCCTCCCTGGATTTATTGCAAGGAACATGTTCGTCTCTCTCCTGTAGAATTAACCTCTTCAGTTCATGAACCACAGAGGATGATAACAGTGCCTGGATCTGTCACTTGTTTCGAAGCATCCTCTTAAGGTTTTCTGATTTTTAGCCCACTTGGGGAGGCCTGTGTTTTGTCTTGCAGTATCCATGTATTTCCTTCTCAGGGAATAATGTTTTGAAGCTCAAATGCAGCTGTTAAAGTCTCAGCAGTGTGTTCTGCTGCCCCCCCAACACACATTTTTTTTAGAGGCATTAAACAGATGGTTGTGGTCAGCGAGGGTGCTGCTACTACATGGCTGCTGAAACCCTGCTGAGGGCAGCACACTGTATAATAAGTTTTAATTGTTTCTTAAAATACTTGTCACAGTTAGAACTTTGGAACAACACCACATTCTTTTGAGCTGCACTGAAAACATATACATGAGTGAAAATAGGGAAATAAATCAGATTTTGTAGGCTTTTGTAGGTTATAGATGTTGTAAAAAGCAAAGGCGACATGCAGCATCTGAACAGGAACTCTGACATCCGGGGAGGGGAAGGTACGAAGTACATGAAGGGAGGGTGTGGTGGTTGACCTCTGACCCTCAAGGCTAGAGGTCAAACATGGAAGATAGACTGCAGCTGTGTTGCAACATGCAACCCCACCGTCATGCCAATCACTGTAATTTGCTGAGACAGATGTGTCCCCGCCCAGTTTGCCAAGCAGGCCCCAACAGGAGCTGACAGAGACGAATGAAAGAGGGAAGGAAACGAGGAAGGAAGGAAAGGAGGTTGGAAGGAAGAATGGAATAATAGAAGACAGCGGGAGGGAAGGAAGGAGGTCAACAAGGATCCTGTGTCCACACATGAGGCTTCATTCGTGAGAGTTAGCAGGGAGTCTCAATTCACTGCAGCAGTTTATCGAAGCCAACGCGCATCCAATTAAAGGGTTCCTCCCATAAGACTTGCTCCCCACCTCACCAGTAATATTCTCCTTTTTAACTTTTCATTTTACTGCCTTTAGCAGACTCTGCTTGCTTCTTTCGCCCTCTTCTAGAGCTATTTGTTCTTCTGCAGGGGAGGTAGGACCTAATCATGCCAGGATCTCATAATACCAAGTCTTTTAACTGCTAAGATCAAAGGGTGCAAGTTTGCCTAATGCGGGATTACGTTGAGATACGGGACCTGGCAGCCTCACCTCACTCCACCCCTCCACTACCACCAGCGGCGGGTAGCTCCATTAGGCTCAACGCATTGCTCATTTTTCCGCAAGAGCTCCCCTGGGCTAAGAGGCAATTATGCAGTAGTGTGGCATAATAATTCATTCTCTTCACATTGCATTGCTGTATAGCAGTGTTGGCCGCTAACAGCTTCATGTGGCCCAGGAGGAAGGGCGCAGGCTGCTAACAACTTCATGTGAGTAGAGGAAGATTGGAGAGAGGAGGAGGAGGAGGAGGCAGTGGAAGGGGGAAGAGGAGGAGGGTTCTCAAGGGCATGATGCTTCATTAGCAGTCAGGTCTTTTTCACCTTCTTACACGAAGAGCGAAGGGGTGTGCATGCATCTTAGTTTTGGTCAGGTTATGTCAAGATTTACAACATGAATGGAAAAGCAAAAACAACAGTATACACTGGATGCTGCTGTACGATCCCTACATGTAACCTTCATGTGGAGAAAGTCGTAGTCGGGCACCACTTCCAAAGTATTAAAACGTGTTTAGTAATAAAACTGTCCTGTTTTACGTCTCATAAATATGCCTTTTACACTATCTTTGAAGTGTTTGAGATAAGTCTGGCTGTAGCATAAGTGTAAATATCCCACGCAGCAGCAAGTCAACCTTCAAGGCACTGTCGATCTTATTGAGGATGTATACATTACAAAGTTTGGACACTTGAAAACTCCTAATAGGCAAGCAGAGGTCTGGAAATGTTTTGCTGATGCAAGTGCTGAGAAGCTACGCCACAGATCAAAACATGCAGGTACTTTCTGCATTGTGTTCCGTTACGCCTGCGGTTGTTTTCGTCCAACCACCATGTTGGATAGAATCGTTGAGAGACGAGTCACTTTTTCATCCAATGGTTTCCTTGCTCGCACTCCATCTTTGGATGAGTGGCATATGCTCCAGAGTAGCAGCATCTAAGAGACTGCACTTTGGGCTGTTGAGCAGAATGTATAAAACTAGTTTTTCTGCCAGAGGTATTACCTCCTTCTAAAGCTGAATTTTAAGGCAGTTTTGAAAGGTCTTTGGAGGAAATTGACTGCCTATTTTTTCCAGTGCATTAAGCTGCCAGATCTGGTTGGTTGTATCTATCTCGCCACAACTTGTGATCTGAGGAAGACATGTTGACAGCTATTGCAAAGGTTGCCATACAATCTATATGATATTATTACACCTAAAATACTCCTGCGCCCAAATGTCATAAACCTAAAGACACATTATTTGCCCCTCTAGTGCTCGGACTTTAATCTATGGCATGTTTGTCTCATATTTGTGAGATGGGAATAATTTGAGAATTTAGGGCACTATTTGGTCCTTTACCATAACAATTCAAAAAAAGAATCATCATAATACTAATAATGTGACAAGTATCTACATGCCGTTGGTTTCAAAGCGATGTTAAATGTTGTAGAAAGAAAGGAAACTGGTACTTTCACTTCATCTCTGTTCTGACAGTGCAGGCATGTGCAGCCCGGGGCAACGCTCTTCAGAACTGCTGTGGGATTTTGCCATATTCAGAGAGGCTACACTGTGTACTTTTACAGGTGCTCAGCCTCTTCTGCTCCCTCTGCTCCTCTTATTTCAACTCTCTCATTTCCCCTTTCTGCCATCACAGCAAAAGCAAACTGTCACCATCATTCACCACATAATAGTTGTGAGAGGGCCCTGCTTTTCGATTCATTCGTCGTTGCGCACAAATTGGCTTCCTGTGTGTTGTTGGAGGGGAATTTACGTTTAAAATGAGAGTAGGCAAGAGTACTGAACATACATTTCTGCACTTGACAGTCCTCTGTGTGTCACATCACAGCATCTGTACCCTCTGCAGCAATTTCATGTCATCAGTCATTCTTGCAACGCGATTTCTGGTGTTTTGCATCTATGTGGGCTACAGTTTGAGATGCATTTCTGAATGTATGAGACACACATTTGATGTACCAGACAAAGTTTGTTCTTTTTTGTTAAGCGTGTACAATAATGGACAACTTGCCTCAGCACAAGATAGTACCAACATCTTTTTAAAAAAAAAAATCAGTTTAGTAACTTTTTTAAAAATATAATTTCTTCGTTTTTGCCCATCGTCTAGTGATGCTTCAAAATTGTTCATTATCAACATAAAAAACCGAGAGACTTACAGCTGCTCTCTCATTTTACCACAGAACAAACACCACTCAACTCTCCAGCCTGATAGGTGAATCTATTCATCTCACTGTATGCTATACAAGAAATGTGCAAGCCAGGCTTGATGAAATGTGTTGCCTTTGGGTTTTTTAGCACACCTACAGTCATAACTTTATAGGTTTCATCTATAAAGTTTTATTTCGGAAACCCATTGTTAACGATCGGTCTTTCTTCTCATTTTTAGAGATCAGGTCTGGTGGGCGAGGCCCTAAGGATGGGCCTGTGAGGCAGCTGCCCCTGTACGATACGCCATACGAGCCAGCCGAGAACGGAGGAGACTCAGACCCTGAGCGCTTGCGCTGCCCCAGAGAAAGCCGTCTGCCCCAGGATGATGAACGACCCCCCGAGGAGTACGACCAGCCGTGGGAGTGGAAGAAGGAGAGGATTTCCAAAGCTTTTGCAGGTACGACAGCCCCGGCAGCAAAACATTACACTGAACTTCATTATGGCTGGTCAAGGTGATGTAAAATACACATCGACATAACAGATGGGACATGTAGAAGTATTTGAAACAAGTCAACAACACACGGCAGAGAATATATGGACTTTAAAGAAAGCAATACGCATGCACCTTTACTCTGAACGTGGCATTTCTTCATTCTACTTAAAATTTAAAGATGTTTTAACGTTCTTCAACACTAGCTGTTACACACTGTTAGTTTTTGTCAAATGCTCAGACACTGAATCTGATACTGAATGTTCCATCCCATATAGCAACAAATGTATTTAAAGTGAAGTTGCCTCATGTAAATGTCAAGCTTTTAACACAATTAAATCTGAACCTGTTTCTCTTTTGCTTTACTAACCCAGGTGTCTGGTTTTGCAGCTCTAACAAATGTGATTATGGCTTCTGTCAGGTTATGAGGGTTCTGCTGCTGCTGCTGGTGCTGCTGCTGCTCCTGCTTTAAACTCTCTGTCTACAGTTTCTTGTTTTTCTCCTCTCTTAATGCACCCGCTACGTTCATTTCGCAGGTGTCCAGGCTACTGTTTGCTGTTTTGATCCAACTCCTGCCTGTTTAAACTAAGTTGATACCTAAGCTGCTCAGGGGGGCATGATTGGTTATTCAGGTGCATGTAGGTGCAGGTAGTCACTGTGGTTTAAGAGCTTCAGCATGGCTAACACAGCCATAACATCAAACAGGGCTGTTCCTGGAAAGGCTGTGGCTTTGGGATATAAATGTGCACCCAAAATAAGAAGAAAAAAAAAAACATGCCAAGCCTTTTAACTGATTTAAGAAAAGTAAATCAGCAACCCTTAACTCTATTTTTCATCGCCCCTTTTGTCTTTATATATTTTTTTCTTTTTTATCCTTGAACAGCTCTGCTTTGTTATGACTGCATTAGCTACGAGGGCTCTGTAAGTGGCACTGGATCAGGTCCCCAGAGAAGAAAGGACTCCACTTCTAAATCTCTCACAGGTACCATTGGAGACGGGGCTGGGGAGTGTCTCTTTCTTTCTGTATATATTCTTGTTAGAGCTTTGACATTGATGCCTGAACCTGTGGATTGCACTGAATCCAGTATGGGAGTGTTTTCTTTTTTACATTTCTCAGCGAGGTTATAAATACTGTTAATAATTTCTGTTACAACAATGTTTTACAGTTAATTCAGGATTTTTGTTCACATGTGAGTCCTAAATGTAATCTTCTAAATCAAACCTATTTTCACCAACTGAAAATGCTTTGAAATGTTTCCTAATTCTTATGACATTATCAAGATGCCACTCACATGATTGCCCAGTGCTTGAAGTGGACTAAAAAAAAAGGCAATGGCACAGTGGAAACACTTTGAATCGACCTTTCAGCAAACACGCAAGTGTAGAGTGCAATTAGTGCAGTAACACTTGATGGTGCTCAGAAGAAGGGCTGATGGGGTGATGGGTGTGCGGGTTGAGTGAGTCATTCTGTGTTGACTCCTCCACCTCCAAGAGTGTGGTGGAAAGAGAATAATTAACACTGCAGTTAGATAAACACTGACACACTATGTGGCCTTCTACTGCTATGCTCGCCAAATAAACATAGCAAAGTGATTTCTACTGTACTCTATGTACACTGTGTTTCCAACGTCAACTGAAAGAAAACCATAAATAAACCAAAAACGAGTCAACCAAAATCACTTGGATAGCTAATCAGTAAATCTAATCTGAAGCTATGTGGATAATAATAAATTATTTCTTTTTTAGTTCAAATTTTGGTTTGAACGTAACAAAACATTTAAGGACGCCACTAATTTGAATGTTTTTTTTCACACTGCCTGTAAAGCATATAATCGAGACATAAATCGACAAAATAATTGCCAATTAAAATAATTGTTTAATGCAGCTCTAATTTTATTTTCAACATGCTTTTACAATGAAAGCATTTTGGCTTGTAGCTTTTAATTACGGTAATTATTTTTGCAGATATATATTTAGCAGAACATTCATAAAGCCCTGAGTGTGAAAGTGTCTGGCCTTGATAACATCAGTGTGACTAAATCGTCACTGAATGAGCCATTTCTTTTTTTAATTACAGTTGCAAACACACACACACACACACTAAAACTCTGCATAGCCTGAAGGCTCATTGCAGTATACAGTTGGGATAAAAGTTGCAAAGCTTGTAAATTGCTTCTTAGACTTTCAGAACGGCAATTGAGCTTTATAAGAAGGTAAATCAAATCCCACAGAGCGAGACAGAGTACGAAAATAATGCCCATGTACGTTTTTGTAATTTGTTTTATGTTTTTATTATTTCCAGCTATTTCTTTCTCTGTATTATGTGCTTTGAAATCACAGATCCATTGCATTTCAAGACAGCTAAATAATAATAATAATACCGAGGATAGGCGAGACATTAATCCCCTCTGGTGTTGTGCTGTTAATGGGTTGTTAGGATGGACTCACTGGGGACCAGTCGAGAGATCTGGAGACCCTAAAACGTAATTTGCATGTACAGCTATGTTTTAAAGTCCAATATTAAAACACATTATTAATGCCAAATCTTCAAACCACTTTCATCTGACTCGAAACTGTTGAATCTAATTTTGATGTAACGCCTTGAAAATCCTCAGAGCCCACAGATTCAGACAGTATTTCCACATTGAAGCACAAGCCCGAGTAAATCTCCACTGATGAACTTATCAGAACCAAATCTGATTTGATAACTTCTGACACTAATTTCCGTCTTGAACGATGTTAACAATATTGTCCAAAATTAGCGAAGTAGCACAACGGCAGGGTTGTTTTTGTCTCAACTATCTATTTGACATTCATCAGCAGCCATCAGCATGAAGGAGAAGGACTCTGCTGTAATATATAACATGTTTAAGTGTGTGTTGATGTCTCCTACGTGGCATTACTATGGAAGCAGGCTCATGAATCTCATTTGTGGAAGAAGAAAAAGAGGCTCGAGGGAGTGTTTAGTGCATACCTGCAGGTAATGAGAGTAGCACTCTGTACCAACCAGCAGTACTTAAAGATAGTGTTACCTCTTGAAACGTGTGAGAACACAGGAAACAAGCTCGGTCCACTGAAAGATGAGAACAGGACATGTTCCTGATTCTTTGCATTGTGGCAGCAGGTCTGATTTGAAAAGAGCTTATTGGGGTTGTATCAGGCTCCAGTCAAACTGTTTTGTACGCTGAATGTAAATATGCACCAATCAGCCACCACATTAAAACACGTATCACTAAACATTGCTGCAAACCAAGCATCCCTGCATGGCAACAGCAGCCTCTTCGTGCAGAACAATGTGCCCCACCACACAACAAAAATTACTCTTAAAGGGGCACGACAAGGAGCCCGAGGAATTGACCCTGCCTCCAAACTCCCCTGATCTTTATCCAATCAAGAACAAGTCAAGGACACATGACACCTCCAGAGTCAGAGCTGTTTCAGTGACTTACACGACATTTAGCAGGTCGTCTTAATTTTGTGGCTGATTGGTGTTTAAATGTCTGTCTATTCATTCATCACCCTTCGATGTTTTGGTAATTTTTTTGTCACTTAATTCCTGTTTCCTGTTTACTTCTGTGTACTCTAGGGACTGGTGGTCTTCATAGAAGTCACACTGTTCTGCCTCTGCCAGTGATTAGTTAAATAAGGGATGCTGCATTCTTAATCACTTTACTTCTCTCCTCATTATTTTTCTGTCAAGCAGCACTCAGAAGTGTTTGTTTAGGGCGCTATTTACTAACACATTCCTCTTCCAACTCCCCCTTTACAGACGGCGTCCCCTCGTTTGATGATGATTAATTTAATTTGCATTGGATGTCAGAGTGTTGACTGGGAATTGAGGAGATAAGTCTTTAAGTTGTCTTTCAAAGGAGAAAAGTGCGGCCTAAAACAAACTTTGATTTATTGCTCGTCTTCGGTCTCTGTTATGTTTAATTCAGGCAGAAATAATTCCCCGCTGTTTGAAAGGCGGAAAAAGAAAAGAGAAGATGAGAATGTTGTCTCTGGGACAAGCCTTGTCAACACAGGCTTGTTGCATTCACAGGTGTCGGTGTAGACTGGCCTTGGATCCTGACATCAAGGAGCTTAGAGAAAGTTTCCCACCTTTCAAGGTTTCAATTTGTGTACCTGAATTCAAGTCTCTGATCTTTGCAACCAGCTTACCTCCAATGTCAAGAAATTATTCACTGCTTTAGTATTTAAGTCCATTTGTGAGCCTTTTTTGATATATATATGCTAGTCTTTCCTGTCTCAATCCATCCTAGCACTGTTTTAGACGTTAAACTTGCAGCAAAGTTCTCCCGGTGTTGTCTCGGAGTTCCCCAACAGCTGCTTTACAACACTAGTGTTGATTCGTTTTCCTCTCAATTTCTGATACCACAAAATCTTTTGTTACATCACAGTGTTTCATATATGCAGTATTGAATTATCTTGCATTCTCACTCAAGGCAGCGTTACTTGGAGTTTATGAAATTTTAGAACTGCAGTCAGTCAGTCAGTCATGGGTCTACTGTAAGTCACAGCTTGAGGCGTCTAGACGTCTTGTTTGCTCAAGTAGCTGTGGAACCAGGTTGGGCTTGAATTTCCATGCTTTACATCTTACTTTCCTTAGTCAAGCCAGTAATAGATTTTCTATTTAATCTCCCCATATGGAGCTGCTTGAATTTGGCAGTGGTGACGTTATTCGAGGTATATTTTCAGAACGTGTTTAGTTATTGGAGCCTCCTCTGAGAAAATTAATCACTACGAGGAGTAGGAGGGGAAAAAAACGTACTTGGGGTCAAAGTGTGGTTTTGATTCTATAACCCAAAGGTGCAAATTGGAAACTAATTAAAGCAATGTGTTATGATGTAAGAGCTTAAACGAAAACGTGTAAAGTAAAATTGTTTCTTTTAACTCGGGGCTTATTTTCATATCACATACACACAAAAGGTGTTATAATAATACCTAAACCGCACATTTAACAGTGAAGCTGAGTTCCCAAACTGCCCATTATAAGTGTCCATTATATTGTGCAAAGCTGCTATCTTACTTAACAGTCGTTGTGCAGCTGCTCCGTGTGGTGGGTGATGATGACACTGTTTGAGGATAACATGTTTGAAAGGGAGATTTGTTTACAACCTGTGTGATTGTCTAACCACTCGTGCTCTGCTCCCTACTGAGTTCCATTGTGGTGATGGTGCAGTGTCTCTAGGTGTCAGCAATTAAGTGAAAATGTTAGCAGTGTGCAGTGCCAGGCTGGATTCAAACATGTCTGTGGGCAGATGGGCTTTTTCTTTTTTCTTTTTTAAAAAAATATAAAGTCAGACTAGCTGTGGTTTCGTGTGCCTTTAGCTTTCTATAGGCCAATTTGCCTCAGTTATGTTTTCTATAGTTGCTGAAGCACTTTACAGCTGCGTAATCTGAATAATTAATGATGCGGTTTACCAGTCGGAATTCAGAAGCACTTTCCTGCTCACGTCAAAACCTTCACAGTTTATATTCCAACAATTATGTGGGAAATGAAAGTGTCTCCAAACAAAGTATTAGCAGATAATGAAGAAAGATGCACAACGTTACTAAATTGTGGAGTGGATTTAAAAAAAAAAAAAAATAAAAAACAGGATTAAGCGAGGACCAAGTGCTGCCTACACCCTCCCACCCTGGTATAACACGATAATGCAATCTGCACAAAAGACTATTTGTCTTCATTAATGATGGGAGAAGGAGAGCACACTAATGCTCCGTGCTGCAGCCCTTTCTCCTCAGCTGTCCTTATTCCTGCCTGCATGCCTCGCCTCTTCACAACACTAGGACTGGTGTTATTTTTCACCGGTGGACTATCTCCTGACAGGTATGCAATGGAATGTAAATTCCCTGCCTTGTTAGGGTGTTGGGAGGCAGTGTACTTGCGGTTTGGTTAATCACTCATCCTACCTCACTCTTCAGACCGAACTCACGCGCTCGCCACAACCTCTTTCCTGCCTTCCTCCCGGCTGCTGAGAA